TAACCCAGGTAGTTATATGTATATGTTTGCAGATGACGTGAAAACGAAACAAAACAAAACAAAAATAATATAATAGACGGCGCCTCATGCCAATGCCCCCAAAGCAATATCGAGACCTTATTCTGGTAGAGTTGTACTTGAAAAATGGAATTCAACACCAATTAATGCCATGTAGTCAGGTTTGGAGAAATTAAATATTATCCACTCTACCAGTACAAATTAGGAGACGCACTATTACACATAGCAGGTACGGAAAAGGACATCATAATCATAAACAGGAAACTAAGTTCAAATGATTATATAAATGTAAAGGTCTATAAAGATAAACTACAGATAATAAGTCTTATTACTTTGAAAGAAAAAAGGAAAAGGGGTGACATGATTATGCTGTTCAACTATGGTAATTTAGACAAAGATGGCTGTATTATTTTGAACACAAGAAAGACGAAAGGACACGGTAAAAAATTGAAAGTAAAAAAGAGGCTCTAAATATGTCAATTAGTATAGTTTCCGAAACAGAATTATTGAAACATGGGACAATCTGCGATATAACGTTGCGTGTGCCAAAAATGAACATCAGTTTAACAAGTTATACGATCATTTAGATATAGCAGAGGGGACCATCTGAGCTTAGCTCTTCTCCCGTATTGAAACCACCAGGTACGAATATACACACGAATAAATAAATACAGATCTAGTTATCTTAACTGGAGTGTTAAGAGAGATGTAGTTCTTCTAGAATGTATTGCTGGGTGAAGTCAGTAATTTTGTTCCTGCCCTTGTGTTGAAAGTGTTGCTCTATTACAATAATGTTGAGTGTTGCTTTTGTTCATAGGAAGGAATGTGGTGCCATTTCTATGAAGAAACGCTGAAACAAGAGACTTGAGGACTTTTTTTGGTCACAAAGGATGGGACGATGCCTTCTTCTGGAGACCGAGAGCACCTCCCTGCTCTCGGATCGTGGGTAGGATTCGAACCCGCATGTGAAGAGGTATTTTTGGTATTAGGAGCTATTGCTTCAAGTGGTTGCACTTGCTGATCTCGGATCGTGGCTAGGATTCGAACCCGCCCGTGAGGAGGTATTGTTGCCAGGCATGATACAGCTGTAACGTGATGGCCTCCTTTAAGACATGATATATAACAAAGAATAACTTTCAGGATGTAATCATTATACAATGTGCTTTTTACCATGGTGTTAATCATACTTTTCCGATAAGGATTCAAGTCTATAAATTCACACCAAGGTATTTTATCAGTAACATCAGCCTCTTCCCAGAAAAAAAATCATTGCACCAATCTCCGCTCTCGTAACTTTTCCTTTTTCTCGCAAGCAAAGTTGATCTCAAGTAAGCGATGGCTTAGAATATTATCTAGGAATGCCAGTTGAGACTTTTCTGTTAACTGAGTAAGTTTTTTTATTCCTGGGTTCTCCAGTCTCCTCACAATAAGGTTGTGGATAGAATGTTAATCAATAAATTTTTTTTCACATATATTGTGCGCAAGGATTTCATATTAGTTGCCTTGATGGATAGAAAATGTGTTACCAAGATAAAGGGGATATGCAGACAGTTAGATCCGAACGGATAGATCTGTACAGAAGAGAGAGAGAGAGAGAGAGAGAGAGAGAGAGACAGACAGACAGACAGACAGACAGACAGACAGACAGACAGACAGACAGAGCCAGAGAGAGAGAACACGTGATATCATGTTATCTTAACCTATAGATCAGAACTCATAAAATGGTGCGTTAACGTTTTTATTTTCTTCCATAATACATGTTTCCCTTTTGATTGAATTTTTGGTAATATAATATGTATAATATGTGTGTGTGTGTGTGTGTGTGTGTGTGTGCCATATATATATATATATATATATATATATATATATATATATATATATATATGTGTGTGTGTGTGTGTGTGTGTGTGTGTGTGTGTGTGTGTGTATATATATATATTTATATATATATATATATATATATATATATATATATATATATATATATATATATATATATATATATATATATATATATGTATGTATGTATATGTGTGTATATATACACACATATGTATGGATGTCCTGATTTAAATTCGTACAGTAATTACCAGTTATATGCACTTTGGGGAGTTTGGTAATGATGTTTATCATGGCAAAGCTATAAGCACTACCGTCACCTCCCCTATTACATTCCTACTGCTTCTGCCATTACTATTATTTTTATTGCCGCTATTACTCCTGATGCTACTGCCTTTTAAAACCATTGGGAAATTGTACAAAAGATGTTTAATCATAATGTTGATAGAGTTAAAAAGAATAATGATAATGCATATATTCCTGTCACTACTACTCCTAATGATAATTGTAATGATAGCAGTGATAATAATAATGAAGATGATAATAAAAACAATAATGATAATATTGATTATGGTAATAATGAAGCTAATGATAATGATAATGATTATGATAATAATGATGATAACAAAGCTAATTATGAGGA